GAAAACAGTCCTCTTGATTGTTTATTTTTTCGGTGTTAACGTGGACTCAGATTGGTTCCTTGATATGGTATATTCTTACATTCACGTTTTTTGTGACTTGCGAACTGACTACCTTTTGAGGTGTTTTGGCTGTGATATCAAACTGAAACTTGACCTTAATTCTGATTCTTCTGAACTTTTGGATACAGTGTTTGATGCAATTTGATGCAGCTTGTTTTGTGTTTCATTTTTCTGTTCTGTTTGGACTTGGTGTTCATGAACTCACTTATGTGGTTCAGACTTGATGCAGTTGTGCACTTTTAGTTTGAATTTCCAATTACCAGTGGCTGCAGCTTATGAACTGTTATCAATTTTGTACTGATGCTGTTGTGGAATTTCAGGTGTTGGAAACTTTCGAAAACAAAAGTGATCCAGACCTGCCGGCATCCGGGTCTGAGTCCAAATTTACCTTTGTGTCAGTTTGGAAATCCAATCGCGGCGAAACGAATCAGTCCCACTTCATTTATATTTTTCTATCTCTCGGATGTCCCATTTTGATAAGAACATGTATTACCTGATCTGACGCCTACGGCGCGGATCGGTAACGGGGGTAGGACGCAGCTTCGGTTGTGCCACTCCCGACACTCGATGATGACATTGTTCTGAGAGTGTCGAAAAAACTCCTAACCCTTTTTTCTATATTGTTTGTTTTGCTTTGATGTGCAGGTTAGTCGAGATTTGCGGCGAAGCTCAAGGGTCAGCATGAAATCACTTATCATTTTTAGGACTTAGGATTTTTAGATTTAATGTAATTCCTTGTAACAGCAAAAATGTGAAACAATCTCCCTTTTGTATAATGCAATCTTTATGAAATAAAATTCCCAACACTTTGAATTTATTTATATTTTATTCCTAGTTAAAAAAAATATAAACAATTGTGAATAAATCCACAAGCATTTAAATTCATTAACATAGTCATAAAACATAAACACTCCCAAGTGATATTTGTAATTCGAATCTCATCCGATTAAAATGTTAACCAAACCACTTCATAACCAACACATATGGGCACCGTAATCACAACAGTTTCAGCGTCAACAGTAACACTACTCATAATTAAATTCTACTGACCAAATGCTAAAATCTCAATATGATCAGAACTGGTAATAGATAAATGCCTCGAAACCAATACGTATCAAATGCCTCAGAATTTTAATAACAGCCCGTCTTCAAGGAATTTGTGTAAGATGACCAAAATACCCCTGGGACCAAATCCAACCTCTGGGGCTTGTGAACCTTGTGAACCTTCATAAAGTAGCTTGTGGACTTTATGAACTTCATGAAAGGTTATGCAAGTTGTTGGAGAACTTGTGAACCTTGTGAACCTTCTTAGAACACAAAGTATTGTATTGTGAGGGCAAATTTTGGGGTGCAACACTAGTGTTGCCAGGTTTTTTTCTCTCAAATCTCATCTCCCTCTTCTTATGAATTTGACTTGTGCTTCAATTTTTCTGTCGTCTCTGTTGGTAGCAAATAGTTTATTTGATGCCAAAAGTAGTTAAAGAACAATTGTTTATTTGATGTGTGTTTTATTTATGCAGGTTCTTATACATAAATAATCAGGATCTACTTTAATTAAGATACACTTGGAGTTACTTCATTGCTAGATTCTGGTGGCAGAGTCTGAAGAACAATTGCTAGTGTGGTTTGATGAAGACTCTGAATTGAAGGCCTCAATATTCAGACGAGTTTATACATTTAGTAATTGTATATCAGCATCTGGTACCACTCAGAGTTAGTGATAAAGTTGTGCATTATCCGTAGTACCAAAAGCAAGTTGTATCATCTTATCAGCATGTCAGCTCGAGTCTACAAGATTGCAAGGCTCAAGACGAGTTGGCACGTTATATAGATGTCTGCTCCTAAGGGCTCTATTAGTACAGAAACTCTTGAAGACTCAAGGGTTAAACATGTTACACATTGAACTAAGATTATGTTGTGCATCCATCTTCAATGTCTCTTGTATTATGGAGCAAAAGCAAAGACACTTGATCAAGTCACCTTCTCAACAACTAGTTTCAGGAAAGGTTACATATATATGCTCAAGCTTTAATTTTAACAAGGATTCTTCTATTGAAAGAGTAGCAAGAGCAATCAATTATCAACTCTATGTAATATGCAGATTTTCTATTTTAGGTTGTAATTGTAAATGCCTTAAGATTTCTTACCCATGTATATATTTAGAAATGTTAAGTGCTTTAGGTCTTTGTTATGGTGGACTCCCGTGCCTTTGATGCTTGCATCATGTACACCTTATTCTCTATTCTACTGAGCCTTCAGTAGTTTAAGTTAAGTCTCCTGCTATGTGTTTGAGCAAAAAGTCTTGTCTCATTAGGATTCAAGCAAAAAGTTTTGATCCGAGATGCTTAAGCCACGTAAGTCTCATTGCTTAAGTGCTTGAGCTGTGAAAGTTTTATTCAGCTAGTATGATTGAGCAAGTGGGAAAGTCTCAGTCTGGATGGCTAGAAGAGCAGGTGGCACGGTCAGAGGATGTGAGCAAAGGGAAGTCTTAGACATGTGTCTAAGAAAATGTAAGTCTCAACCAGAAGGTAGATGAGCAGGTGGCTCAGTCTGATGGTGTGAGCAAAGGGTAAGTCTTAGGCATGTGCTATTAGCAAAGGGAAGTCTCAACTAGAAGATAAATGAGTAGACGACTCAGTCTGATGGTGTGAACAAAGATTTAAGTCTTAGACATGTGCTCTAAGCAAGAAAAGTCTCAGACAGTTAGTCTAAGCCGTTGTAAAAGTCTTATGCAGAAGCATAAGCGATTGTAATCATGAAGTGGTTATAATGAAAAGTTCTTGTGAGACAAGAGGACTGGACTACTCTCTGTTAGAGGAGGAACCAATATAAATCTTTTGTGTCTTTTGCTGTTATATTATTTACTTCTATTGTATCCGCTGTCAAAAGAATTAACTCAGAATCTGAACATCAGTTCTAATTCTGAAACTCTAATCAGAAGCTAAATAATAAGAAAATGAAAAACACAATTCAACACCCCCTTCTTGTGTACTTTTTATACCTTCAAATTTATCATATAATATTTTCTGAATCAATTTGAAAAGTTACATGTCCAGTTAAGGTTTTGTAAAATAAGCAATCCACATTAGATATAATAAACTCAATTGTATATTTTCCCTCAGTTAAATGACAAACCCGATTGGAAAATGTATTTTTTTCCATTTAAAAATTCCAAAGTTTCATCAGGGGTCAAACTCATGACCATTACACATTTCTCGTTGGTGGAATTTCAACCGAGAGGTAAAGTGGCACACTTTTAATGACGTCCTTCGTTACCTCGCATATGAAACCGAAGTAACATCTCATATCCAACTAAGGTAAAATATTTTTTTTTTTAGTATTGCTTGCTTGGGTCTTCTTGGAGACGAGACTTGAGATATCTTTCAGTTGGATGCCATCATCATAAGATATTAAAGTTGATCATTAAACTCTATCTCTTTGACTTTATTTGGAGAAAGAGTTTGACCAAACTATTTTGTGCATCTTTGACCGCTTGAAATATTTGTTTGTCTTTGAGTCAAGTTGCATATTCACAAGCTATCATTAAAGAAGAGTTATCATCGTCAAAACTATGATAGACATAACTTGTTTAACTTTGACCACTTCTTAATTGAACCTGCAAGCAGAGAGATCCACAGAGATTGATTTCTTCATCTTGATTATAGGTCTTGTGGTTGAGAGGATAATGAACTATCACATATTCTCTAAACCTTTTTTCTCTTATATGTCTCGTGCTTGAGAGATTATGTACCAATATGTCTGAAATGACCCAAATTTCCCTCAAATCAAAAAGACTTTGTCCATCTTCTTTAAACCATGTTGAGCCTTGAGAGAGCACTTGAGTTAATATAGGCAGGGTGAATTCGAATTAGAGTCTTGAGTAGCTTGCCGCTGTATGATGAAAGGGTTCCGTCACTAAGCCACGAAAGCAACTCAAACTCTAGGAACATGGAGTTGACTCATTCATGGATCACATAATGACTTATTTAATGTTGTGTGGTTGAATCACAAACTAGCAAAAAGGATCATGAAGGCATGAAGACATAACTGTTATAACAATCATAGCCAATAAAAATCATGAATGTATTTTGTGCAATTAACTATCAAACGAGACAAACATGATATTGAAAGACAATAACCGTGTGACAGATATGGAAGAGTCAGAGTAATCAAAAACCAATTATATACATGCAAGTCTGTGATTAGAACAATCTTCACTTATTGACATATTCACACTAATTGAGATTTCCTTGACAAGTATCGTATAAAGTGACAAGTATTGTACAAGTACAACTGAGACTAGATTCACTGCAATCGGCATTTTGCCGCATTCACAACATTTATAACCATTTGATCAAGATTTGACGTTTAAGATTTAATAGAGCTTTAAAATTTTAAATAATAAAAATACTAATTTTAAAATATTGACCGTTTAATCTCAACCTAACGGTCAGGAAACCTTGCCAGGGTGAATTCGTCATTTCCAATCCAGTACAACTACCACTAAAATTAAGTCATAATAAAAAGATCATTATCCATTTTTTGAATATATATATATATATATATATATATATATATATATAAATTTGTATCGAATAATATAAATACAATTAAATTCAGTATATTAAATAAAACGGTATTACATCTCCACATAAAAAGAAAAAAATCGAATCATAATCAGACATGCAAATAATTGATAGATGCAAAAACATAGAATATATCGTGTTTTAATAGAAAATATCATTTTGATTTATTCCTTTCAAATATATACATAAATATCCTTTATCAAAAAATAAATATACAAATATACAAATACCCCTTTAAAAAATACAATTAGCAAAACAAGTAAATTGAAAGAAGCGTAGACTCTGCTAACTATAAATATCGGAACATTTCACATTCTCTTTCTCCGTGAAGCCTCACTAAGTTTTCAAGAAACCATGGTCGACATAATCACCCGAGAATCGCCGAAGCGCAAAGCGAACCGCGTTTTCATCAACCTAACGACGCTGATGATGGTGGTGGTGAAGCGAGCGAGTCGTTTACCGTTGAAGCTGAAGGCGGCGCCGGCGATTGAGAATCGGAAAATTGAGATGAAGTCGCCGAAGAAGCTTCTGAAAAACATAAGCAACAAAGCGATGCCGTTTATCGAGAAGATGAAGAAGAAGAAGAAAGGGAAGGATGAGTGGGGAGACGGTGGCGTGTGGCAGAAAGCGATCATGATGGGAGATAAGTGCGAGCCGTTGGATTTCTCCGGCGTGATTTACTACGATAGTAAAGGGAAGCAGGTAAGTGAATTCCCTCTCCGGTCACCACGTGCGACTCCCCTGCCGGCTTTATGTTCCGGTTGAAACTCCGGGAAAGAGTTCAGAGTATGTTCTCTTTTTTTTTTTGAACCGGTGAAAAACTGTATATATAGTTATGGAAGTTGGAGTTTTTATTTAAATAAATTAATATGTTTGTTTCTCGAGCGAATCAGAAAAAAGAAAACTCTAATCGCGCTCAGAGAAACTTATAGTTAATGTATCACACATCAAAGAAATCCTCACATCGCTCTCTGATGCGAAGTTGTAGTGATCTCTTTTAATTGTGTTGTAGTTTATGAGAAAATAAATTTATGTTTATCTTTGATATTATACCTTGTTGAGGAAATATTGTGCTTCTTTAATTTCCAGAAGTGGAGGATTAGTATTGCAGTTGTTCTCTTATTTGAGTTATGAAATACATGAAATTGCGTATTGATTTTTGTGTCTATTGGTTGAGAGAGCTAAATTAGTTATCGTGTGAAATGAATATAAATATATAAAAGTGCTATTTGTTAACCTCACGCAAACGGACGAATTGAGATGATGCCTGTTTTTATTAAGCAAATATTAATTATTTTTTTTGACACTAGTGCAAATATTAAATAAAATTATTATTTTTCCTTTAACAATTTAATGGCAATTTAATGGCCATCCCTTTAAGGAGAGTAAGTGAGATGTTGAGTTGGAATCACACCTACACAATATTGATGTGTTTATGCATAGAAATATATAGTAGTCTATGTAGAAAAATATATTATCATTTCAAAGCTATTAAACTCAGTGATTTTCAAGTTTAAAAAATAAATTATTTTGTACCAAAAAATTATTAAAAATTTGATAGGTCAATCTCTTCCCAAGTGGGTACAATAGGTAAATTAGAGATGAATGGTTAAGATGATGTTGTTAGGTTATATGGAATAAAATCAAGGGTGAATAACTAGTGTAAGTCTAAATGCCATAAAATATGCGTATAATGCGCGCGGTGTCCACTAATGTCCACTAGTGCGATGCCAAAAGGAATGAGTGGATTTAGATTAAAGATGGAAAGGTCTCAATTTGGGAGAAGGAACTAAGTAGAAATGAAGAAGTACAAGAATGGGATTCTACTAAATTATAATGTTATTACAATACACGTTATCTTTGTATATATACTAGTAATAGAAATGAAAGAATACGAAAAGAATACTAGTAATAGAAATGAAAGAATATGAAAAGAAACCAACTAATTAACTTGAAAGGGTGGTAGTAGGAGAATGCGGATCCTTCATACCCACCGTTATTTCCATTATTATATCGAATTTGTGTTACAACTCTTATAATGGGGAAGGTAGGAGAATTAACTTCCATCCTATAAGGTTTTTTCTTTTAATAAGATTTATCGTCCGTATGTTTTAGTTTTAATTTTTAATTTTTTTTAAATTAATAAAAAAATAATAATTTTTTAAAAATTAATAGATTAATTTTAAAATAAAAAACATAAATATATATTATTGAAGATTAAAATATATTTACAAAATTTTAAAAAATATAAATGCTAAAACTAATTTTACAAGAAATATTCAAAATAGGTTCACATTTAATTGATTTTTTTTGAAGCTTTGATATCAAAAAAAATTTATAGTAAAAAGATGTAATACTTAAAGTAGTATTTTTTTAAAATGATTTAAAACAATTTTATATTTAAAATTTTTTAAATAAAAATATATAACACTAAAAAAAATTAATTAAACATGTCATTAATTTAAAATAAAAAAATTCTTCGCACTAAACTTGCAAAATAGGACTAGGTCCATTCTTAAAAAATTGACGAAAGAAATACAAGAGAATTGTTTATCTCATCTTGAATGGTGGAAAAACATCATAAGAAAATCTGAAACATCATCCAGATTTCGAAAGTGCATTTTCAGATGCACCAATTTTTTTCACCAAAACACATTCTAAAATGAGTCTCATCCCATTTCCCCCAAAATTTTATCCGGAGATGCATCTTTGAATTCACCTTATACGCACTCATGCATTTTTAACTGAGTCACTTTCATTTCAACATAAATTGATTGGGAGATGCATCTTTGTATTCACCCCGAATAGAATATGAAGATGCATTTTTGTATTCACACCAGACATCAAATTTTGACTTTGTTTTAGAGATACACTGATGTAATTGACGATTTATTATAGATATACTATCGTGTTAAATTCTATGTAAATTAAACGATACACATATCAAATAATATGAGTATTCCATATATAAATGAATAAATATGAAATACATAATAAAGTTAAAATAAACTACAAACGATAATAGTGTTTCTAATACAAATAATATATTCTACTGCGTATGCCGAACTTGGGGCCCCCTATTACTATGTTTCCTCCTGTACTGTAGTATTGTATGTGCCTCCTCCATTTTTGGAAAGACACGTATGTCTATACTCTCCTGCCTAATCTCCAGGATACGTCGACATCTAGGCAACACATCAACAACATGCTCTGCCTTAGCCTGCCCATCCTCTAGTATCTTCTTATGAGCCTGCCAAAGTGGATCACGTAGAGCATCTAGTGTCATATAAGAACGTGTCACCTTAAAATACCACAAAATGTAGTTGTATGAAACACTTCATTCGTTTGGATCTAGGGTACCATTTGTTACATCTGACACTAGATGACTAAGGTAATCAGTATATATGAGATCTCTGTGCGTCATAGCAGGAGAAACAAACTTTAAAGGGTCTCTAGAAACAAACTGGTTGTAGTCAAACTATTGCATGACGTGCTCAGGCATATGGATACATCAGACATGACTCACATGCCAACCATCAAGAGTAGAAAATTATATCGTCTAAGGGATTCGTCTCATGATGATCTACATGCGTCTATAAGGGTATATCTTATGCTACTAAGCGATCAAGATACACTATGAAGGGATTTGTCACCCGATTCTCTCTGAATGGGACAAATGCAAAATTACATGGCATATATGCTCCTTTGAAGTACAGACAATCAGGTGCAAGAAAAGTTACTTGAGCTAGAGGACGACGTCAATGCCTCTTTAGCTTTTATCATTGAGTCTTTAGAGGAGTTGCTCTGATATGTAGCACAGGGTGTAACGCCCCAAATTATGAATTCCCGTTATTTTATTGAGTCCTTTTTGATTTATTTGGATAATTGGTATTTTAATTGTGGAATTTATGTGTTGATATGTTTAATTTCAATATTGTGCTATTTTACCGATTCGGAGAGTTTTCGCGAAAATAGAGTAAAGGGTATTTTAGACATTTAGCATTAAATATTAAGTGAATTATTGTGTGAGAATTAATTGATAAGTGTTTGGAAGGAAATGGAGAGGAAAGAAAATAGAATATGAGATAAGAGAGAAAAAGAGAAAAATAGAAACATTAGTGGAAAAACAAGAGAAAGAAAGAAGAGAGAAGGGAAAGAAGAGGAAAACCTAGGATTTCTTCAAGATCAACTTCAAGCTCCGATTAATCGAGGTAAAGGTGAGAAACATTATTATCTAATCAATGTGTGTGGTTATGTATGTGTGGGTTGGCTATATTGTGAGTTTCCACCATTTTTCATATTAGGGCAAATTGGAATTAATCGGTAGTAATGGAGTTTAATCGGTTAGAAACTGGAAATAATGTCGTAGAATAGTCGTGTGATATGGGGTTAACATTACTGAAGCTGGTTTAGTGAGAATCGGTTGGTTTTTGGAGTATTGATTGTTTTGGGTAGATTGGAGTTTGCTGGTTTCGCAGGTTCGCTGGTATTCGCCAGGCGAGTGTGGGCGAAGCTTCGCCGGGTGAAGCCCAGCGAATGGCTGGCGAATAATTCAAGAAAACTCCCAGTGGTCTTCGCTGGCAAGTTCGCCAGGCGAAGGTTTGCCAGGCGAGTACATCAGCGAAGGGTAGCGAAGCAAGTCAATAGCTACTGACTTTGTTCGCTGGCGAGTTCGCCAGGCGAAGGTCCCAGCGAGCATTCACCAATGGCTTCGCCAGGCGAAGGGTGGCGAGCAGGACAACAATGTTTCTTTTCTGTTTTATCCATCCAATGATTAATTGCTTGGTTCAATTATGTTAATCTTTTGTGATATGAGTAGTTTGTATACTATTGTGATGAGCTGTGGGTAGCCTTTGGGCGTGAATCCTAGAAATTGATTCTTAACCGTGAAATTGTAGTCGTTTGGAAATTTTATGCATTTGTCTGAATTGAATGGAAATGCATGATGGATTAATATGAATGTACATAGAGTGTATGTACCTGTATGAGATGAATATGCATAGTGATATATTTGTGAATATGTATGCATGTAGAGAAATGTTGTGAGTCATTTTGCATAAAAGGCATGATGATGTACATTCTAGAGATGTTGATTCCTTGGAGAATCTTTGGTAATATGTGATTCCTTGGAGAATCTGTGTAATACTTGATTCCTCGGAGAATCTGCTGAATATTCAATTCCTCGGAGAATCTAATGAATATTTGATTCCTTGGAGAATTTGCTGAGTACTTGATTCCTCGGAGAATCTGCTGAATATTCGATTCTTTGGAGAATCTGATGAATATTTGATTCCTTGGAGAATCTGCTGAGTACTTGATTCCTTGGAGAATCTGCTGAATTGAGTCGGTACCGCATTTGCATCTGCATAGAGTCGTGAGTCGGTCTCTATGAGTTGCATTGGTCATCTTTATATGATGCATTGAGTGAATTGAACATAATGGTAGATGTTTATGTGGAAAATGATGAGTATGTATAGAAGCATGATTTGATGAATATGCTTGATTGTGTGAATATGTATTGTGATGTATATGATGAATGGTGATGAGATGTGGTGAGAACTTGAATTGTGTATATCCCATGTATGTATATAGATATATAATTATATGCATTGATTATTATGATATTGTTTCTCACCATTCTGCTGTTTTATAATGCTCTATGAGGCATTGCAGAGTAGGATTGTTGGAGGTCCATTTTATGAAGTAGGTCTTCATTATTTTTGGTCGATGGCTCTGATATGTAACATCTGGGTAGTTAGGAAGCC